CACAGAAACTGTATTGGAGGGGATCTAAACATTCCCTCTAATGCGTTATGCGTGGTTTCCTCCGAGGCTATGGGTCCCCCTTCTTCCAGCTAGAGGTGGTACTCCCTTCCTATATTATATATATAATATATATATAATCCACAAATACATGTCATACATCTTTGACACAGAATTAATATAGACTCGGAAATGTATGTCACACATTCACAATATATAAAATAAGATTAATATACGGTAACATGAGATAACATCATATACACAATATTCGTGATACGAGGCTATCAACCAAGATATCACTGTATAGTTTGAGCTCAATCATACACCAATCTCGGTATGATCATACTGGTGTATGTGTGGTCATAACACGGCCCACCTGAGACTCCTCCCCCACCTGGTGCGGCCCACCTGAGAGACTAGCACCAGATGGTGCGGCCCACCTGACACACTCCCCCCAGCTGGTGCGGCCCACCTGAGACACTGAAATTGGTTCGACATGTTGGGTTGGGGAGGGGGGGGGGGGAAGCAGGTGTTCCCGAAGGCCATCCATAACCCAACGCTCTAGGGTTAATACCCGTAGAGCTTCGGCTAATGAATTCCACTAACGAGGCGATTGCCGCCCAAACGGCGCCCATTAGTGCGAAATGCGTGAGGGTAAGTGAGCAAGGAGCAGACGTGTACCCTAGATCACTTGTTTATCATTGACACCAACACACACTCTGCCTGTTGTTGTCTGTCATTGTCTGTCAACTGTGAGTTTAAACACGTGTGGGTTCTGTCCCAGCCACCGTCTCTGGGGCTACACGTGTGTGTTGATGGATCACTTGAGGAGCCTGGCCCCAGATTCACGAAGCAGTTACGTAAGGACTTGCGAACCTGGCTTCAGATTCACAAAGCCGTTACGTAAGTACTTACGAACCTGGCTTCAGATTCACGAAGCAGTTACGCAAGTACTTACGAACGTGTACATCTTTCCTCAATCTTTGACGGCTTTAGTTACATTTATTAAACAGTTTACAAGCATGAAAACTTGTCAGTCAACTGTTGTTATTGTTATAAACAGCCTCCTGGTGCTTCGGAGCTCATTAACTGTTTAATAATTGTAAACAAAGCCGCCAAAGATTGAGAAATGATGTACAGGTTCGTAAATATTTGCGTAACTGCTTCGTGAATCTGGCCCCTGGGATTGTCCGGCGTGGCCTGGGGTCGCCCAAATGTATATTGGGAGGGGCTCCGGTACAGTGTTGGAACACAATGTTACAGAAATTCATACAGAAAGACACAAATTCTCTTGAAAACACACCATTAATACTGCCACAGGATGTCGGTGACCGGGGGGGGGGGGGGGGGGGGTGTCGGTACACCATCTGGGTGTACCTTCATGTATACCATGCTTGATGGGGGTACTGGGTATGCCAGAGTCTAGCCTCTGACCAAGCCTTACGGGTCTGCTACCCACTAAGAGTTAGTCAAGAACTAGCTACGTGATGCTAAAATCTCCATCACACAGGATGGTTAGTCATACAGGGCCATATGTTCAGTAGTCTGAACCGGCGCATTGTGAGGATATCTTCAAGAACACGAGAGGTAATAAAGTAATTGCAAAGCTCCAGGTACCTCATGCCAACGGGTCTGAATGGTCAGAAAACTGGGCATTCGGTGATGTAGTGTGCAAGATCAGGCCTCATTTCCTGCCCAGAGTTTGTGTGAGCAGGAACTGCGGCATGATCTCCCACATCACTAAATGCCAAGTTATCAGACCATTCAGACCCGTTGGCATGAGTTACCTGGAACTTTGCAATTACTTTATTCACTCTCGTGTTCTTGAGGATATCCTCATGCACCCAAAATTTACCAGTGCAGGCTGGTAAAGTTTATGGAATAGGAGCTGAACATAGCACGGGGGTACGGCAGGCGAGGTTGTACTTTGTGGTAAGGCGGAGACGGCGTACCCAAGGGGGTTGATGACCCTCAGCAGTCTATTGAATTCCTCGTCCTCTGACCGCGGAGGTCATCCCAACGTGTGTGCGCGCGCGTGTGCGCGTGCGTCAATGTTGAAATAGTACTGATGGAGATAGATTATCAGTTCGCCTAAATCACAAGGAGCAATGATCATTACAACTACATATTTATTGAGGATTTCAGAACAGCATCTTACTTTTTACCTCTTGAAAGTGATTTTTCAAAATATTATAAAAGTTGAAAAAAAAAATCCCAAGGATGAGTTGATTTTGTCCTGTTGATTGTTTAGAGAGAAACCTCTGATAAGAGACTCATCAGAGTATGGCTTTATATAAACATTGATGATAATTGTTTATATAAAGTCATACTGAGCCTCTATGAGACTCATCAGCGTATGGCTATATAAACATAATTATCATCACTGTCCTTTTATATACGAATATTTATTATGTGACAACTTGCTATTCAACTTTGATTTCATTACGTTTTTCCTTCTGAAAGTCTCCCAAAATAACGTAATTTCCACGTTGGTTGGTTCACCTAGTGTCCTCCCGACGCCCACAAGGGCGTATGTGCGCGGGAAATAATGTCGACGACGCATTTACAAAAATCGAGAAATAATTTCCTGGAGACGACTTGAATAAGTGTTGGTATATTGGTCGTCCCACACGGCGCAGCGCCGCTCCTCCCCGCTACCTGCCCGCAGCATCGCAGCCAAGTCGATATGTGAAGTAAATGATTATTGGGGGAAAAAGCAGGTGTACAATCAGGGAGCCGGATGGCCGTCTGCCCAAAAACGATACCACAGGTATCCAATTTCCAGACTTGTCACAGTTGTCACATGGAGATGAATATTATTGCGTACATGTGGTCGTGAGGGACAAGTGCACACACACATGTACATCCAGTACGTACACTCGCATGTACGCTCAGTACGTACACTGGCATGTACGCTCAGTACGTACACTGGCATGTACGCTCAGTACGTACACTGGCATGTACGCTCAGTACGTACACTGGCATGTACGCTCAGTACGTACTCACATGTACACCCAGTACGTACACACAACATACACAAATCTGCCAAGATTTAGCTTTTCTGTACATGGAAGAAACATTTACAAGCTGCCTCATTTATAATTCCATAAATAAATAAACAACTCATCGCAGTACTTTCATTATATGAGTCGAGGGATTCTATTACTGGTAATAGATTCATCACCACCAGTAATTATCCTCACACCAGTAATTGTCTGTTACTGGTGTGAGGGAGAGCGCGAGTGACCAGTGTGTTAGCTAAGTGAACCTTAGGAATAATGAGAGATGCACATTTCTGAAGATTGCCACTGATTGCTAGGCCGTTTTTTTTTATTGGAAATGCTAAGTCTTCCTTCGTGCTCTGACACTGTCACAATGTTAATCACGTGATAGTTTTTGTGACACACACACACACACACACACACACACACACACACACACACACACACACACACACACACACACACACACACACACACACACGTGCGCACGTACGGTCGACCTTCAGCAGACTACAAGAGAACTACCCAATTGAACGCACATAGTGATATTCACAGTGATATTCATAGAACGCACATAGTCAGTGATATTCGAATGAATGTTTTAGCTGCTAAAGAAAACAGATTTGAGATTAAATTCCTATGGATACCATCACATGTTGGCATCTCAAGGCATGACACTGTTGATATGCTTGCAAAGTCAGCCTGCAGAAAACCAGTAGTAGAAATTGATATGGGTGTTTCATTAGCAGTGACAAAGAGAATACTTAAACAAATATCTAATGAAGATCTCACCGACCTAACAAATTCACAAAGACCTGAAAGTTGTAGCATTAAATATTATGATAGATATCGTGAGGAGAAATTCACATATGGGACTAATAGAACAAGAACCCGGCAATGTGATGTTATAGTGGCCAGAATACGCCTGGGATATGGACGTATCTGGCAGCTTTCTCAAAACCCAAATGTCGAGTACACAATGTGTCAACTTTGTGAAAGAGAAAACATGCACTCTCTTGAACATTATATTGTAGAATGTCCTATACTGACTGACTTTCGCCCTCCTGGGCTAAGGTATGCTGAACTCTGTAATTACTATGCGAGTACTGGAACACTTAATGATATATTGAACTTGTATCCAAGATTGACCATGTAATATATCAATTATACAATGTATATATATATGATGTAACTATATAACCTGAGCTTGTAAAAGCACCTTCATCACCTTCAGTGATTAAGTGCTTAATTGCACACTAGTTTCTTTATCAGCTATCTCACCCTGTCAGAGTAAATGAGACAAATGTATGTGAATGCATGTGTGTGTATGTTTGTATATGTGTGTGTGTGTATGTATATGTATGGGTATAAAGTATATATGGAAGCTGATCAGAATTACATTTCACCTTTGTAAATGTACATTAATGACACTATGTAAAAGACACATCTAAAACTTTATGTAGGGCATCCGTAAATCTGTGTATCTATGTATTTACGTATGTAGGTTAGCTTAGCATTTTAAAAGCACCTAATCACCTTCTGTGGTTGAGTGTTCAATAAACCCTTGAACTATATGTTTAACACTTCTCTAACCCTGTCCATGGAGGACAGAAGAAAATGTATATATGCTGGTTAGCATTGTAAATGTGTGGCCACGTCTGTGGTAGAAAATAACAATAATAAAAAAAAACTACTCATGGCCTGCCGACCAGTAAAAATTGAGGAACAAATTACTCAGTGTTCCCTACGGGGGGTAACTGCCTCTCTTCTCGTAACGCCTCCCTGGAATATATTTTGTTTGTACCTTGGCATTAATTTATCCTCTGCCTCTGGGGATGCTTGTACCTTAGCGAAATGCGTCAAGCCCATTGAAGGTTTAATTGCTCTACTACTTTAGTCATTTCAATAGCACACATCTTCCAGAATAACTTGTAACCTGCTACACATGTTCACACACACTTGCCATACCTGTGTCTGATGTATTATTGTTGTCCTGTGCAGACACGCTGGACGAGGTGGACCTGCTGCAGGCCATCGCTGTACCCTTCGCTGACCCGTCCACCCAGTACTTCGTCACCGGATTCGACGGCTTCCCGGCCTTCGGGTTCAAGGTTGGCGCCAGCATCAAACACCCGTATCGACTCTTCATTCCCGTCAGACTCTACAGGACATTTTCGGTGAGTAGGACGTTCTTGGCTGTCTGACCTGGCCAGTCTTCCTTTCAGGGAGAGTCTACAGGACTTTCTGTGTGGGGGCGAGTGTTCCCAAGGACTCTAAGACGTGTGGTCCTTAATGCTGAGGCATGTCCCCCTTTCCCCCCACCACCACCCTAACGCTAAAGCCCTCGAACCAAAACTAATTCCTTCAAGTATTCTGGTTGTGACAACATTCCTCTCTACCACCATATACTTCCCCTCTTTTCCCCCACCTTTACCTCAACTCTCCCTCCTTTTTCCCTCCCATCCCTTCCCTCCTCTGTCCCTCCCCTTCTCTCTCTCCCTCCCCTTCTCTCTCTCCTCTCCCCCTCCCCCTTCCGTCTCCCTCACCCTCCCCGGGAATGCCTACTCATCGTTTGTAAATTAAAAACTGCTCCTCGTCTTCTGGTCTTAGACGCAGTCCATCGTATCTGTTACGGCTTGGACCTACAGTGTCTGGCCCACCTCTACACTGTGGCTCGGTGGCTGGCCCACCTCTACACTGTGGCTCGGTGGCTGGCCCACCTCTACACTGTGGCTCGGTGGCTGGCCCACCTCTACACTGTGGCTCGGTGGCTGGCCCACCTCTACACTGTGGCTCGGTGGCTGGCCCACCTCTACACTGTGGCTCGGTGGCTGGCCCACCTCTACACTGTGGCTCAGTGGCTGGCCCACCTCTACACTGTGATTCGGTGGCTGGCCCACCTCTACACTGTGATTCGGTGGCTGGCCCACCTCTACACTGTGGCTCGGTGGCTGGCCCACCTCTACACTGTGGCTCGGTGGCTGGCCCACCTCTACACTGTGGCTCGGTGGCTGGCCCACCTCTACACTGTGGCTCGGTGGCTGGCCCACCTCTACACTGTGGCTCGGTGGCTGGCTCACCTCTACACTGTGGCTCGGTGGCTGGCCCACCTCTACACTGTGGCTCGGTGGCTGGCCCACCTCTACACTGTGGCTCGGTGGCTGGCCCACCTCTACACTGTGGCTCGGTGGCTGGCCCACCTCTACACTGTGGCTCGGTGGCTGGCCCACCTCTACACTGTGGCTCGGTGGCTGGCCCACCTCTACACTGTGGCTCGGTGGCTGGCCCCACCTCTACACTGTGGCTCGGTGGCTGGCCCACCTCTACACTGTGGCTCGGTGGCTGGCCCACCTCTACACTGTGGCTCGGTGGCTGGCCCACCTCTACACTGTGGCTCGGTGGCTGGCCCACCTCTACACTGTGGCTCGGTGGCTGGCCCACCTCTACACTGTGGCTCGGTGGCTGGCCCACCTCTACACTGTGGCTCGGTGGCTGGCCCACCTCTACACTGTGGCTCGGTGGCTGGCCCACCTCTACACTGTGGCTCGGTGGCTGGCCCACCTCTACACTGTGGCTCGGTGGCTGGCCCACCTCTACACTGTGGCTCGGTGGCTGGCCCTCCTCTACACTGTGGCTCAGTGGCTGGCCCACCTCTACACTGTGATTCGGTGGCTGGCCCACCTCTACACTGTGATTCGGTGGCTGGCCCACCTCTACACTGTGGCTCAGTGGCTGGCCCACCTCTACACTGTGGCTCAGTGGCTGGTCCACCTCTACACTGTGGCTCAGTGGCTGGCCCACCTCTACACTGTGGCTCAGTGCTGGCCCACCTCTACACTGTGGCTCAGTGGCTGGCCCACCTCTACACTGTGGCTCAGTGGCTGGCCCACCTCTACACTGTGGCTCAGTGGCTGGCCCACCTCTACACTGTGGCTCAGTGCTGGCCCACCTCTACACTGTGGCTCAGTGGCTGGCCCACCTCTACACTGTGGCTCAGTGGCTGGCCCACCTCTACACTGTGGCTCAGTGGCTGGCCCACCTCTACACTGTGGCTCAGTGGCTGGCCCACCTCTACACTGTGGCTCAGTGGCTGGCCCACCTCTACACTGTGGCTCAGTGGCTGGCCCACCTCTACACTGTGGCTCAGTGGCTGGCCCACCTCTACACTGTGGCTGGCCCACCTCTACACTGCAACAATAACTGAGAAATTTCGAGCCTCGTAAACTGTTTACTAAATGTAAACAATCCCCCAAATGACGAAGGAAAGATGCAGAGGTTTCGTAAGTACTTGCGCAAATCCTTCGTGAATTATTGGGCCAGGATAGCAGGTAGGATAGGGTGACGGAGTGAAGGAACGACTCACATCATTAATTGTGGTGTATTACAACCAATTACGATAGCGGCTGTGATGGATTGTATGAGTATTAGTATATTTGGGAATATAATTACATTTCTGTAATACAATAATTCATTCCTGTCGGCTTTATCGCCAGCGGGTCAATTTTAATGTCTGACTTGAGAGTTTAATTGTATCCATTAGTCTTCCCTAACTAATATAAATGGCGTGGCAGTGTTGGTGGGGTGTGGAGCAGCCCCACACCTGCTAGGCCCTGCAGGTACCTGCTTGATGCCTGCTTGATGGGGTTCTGGGAGTTGTTCTACTCCCCCAAGCCCGGCCCGAGGCCAGGAGTTGTTGATCTGGAGTTGTTCTACTCCCCCAAGCCCGGCCCGAGGCCAGGCTTGACTTGAGAGAGTTTGGTCCACCAGGCTGTTGCTTGCAATGCCTGCAGGTGGTGTCCTTGGGGATGCAAGTATGGTAAAGCTGTTCCAGTTGAGATTGGACTTGAATAAGTCTTCATCTGGTCGCCTCTCCTCGCAAGGGTCGGCAGGAGTCTAGGTGGTGAAAGGTTACAGAACAAACATGGCGCTGACCTGGGAGGGCAGGCTGTCCGTCCCATATTCTTATAAATAGGAATTTGTATGTGTCCACACTCTACCCTCTCTCTCTCGCTCTCTCTCTGTTTCCCTCTTCTCAGTGTTTCGTCAAAATGAGACGCGGCGGGTGTGTTGTGGCCGGAATGTACCGGACCTGGAGTGGTGCCTCCGGGCCCGGGGTCCAGGGGGCCTGTAGCAGTTATCGATATGGGATGTTTTTACCTGGTGAATATCGCGGCCCGTTGTTGGTGGCGGTCTGTGGGATGCGTGGGAGAGGGAGGCTGGTCTGTGGGATGGGTGGGAGAGGGTGAAGGCCTAAGGGATGAGGTGCCACCCCTGAGGGAGGCCTGAGGGATGGCACCCATACAAAGGAGCAACTGGACCAAAAACACTCCTTTCCCATTCCAAACGGGACAGGCCTAGCTCAGGGTCGGGTGAGAGATAAGAGAGAGAGGGAGAGAGAGGAGAGGGAGAGGGGGGGAGAGGAAGAGAAGGTTAAGCCTAGTGCCACTGTAAACAGCTGTATTCTCTTTGATGAATCAGTGATTGTTAAAGTGTAACAATTATTTTTAATGTTCTCGACTTTTATTATAATATTAGGCTATTTTTTTTTTACTTTCACGAATATTTATATATGAAAAACTAATTGAATTTTGCTTTATTTCTGAATACAAAATTATTGCTGATAACCGGGAGTGAGTTATACCGTCCCTGGCGCCTCTCCTGCAGATACTGATCGCCCTGAAGCCCGACACAGACAGCCCGATGTTCGCCTTCGCCGTCACCAACCCGTTGGAGAACATCATCCAGCTGGGCGTGGGCTTCGCCTCGGCCGAGCGGGGCCGGACCAACGTGTCCCTCTACTACACTGACGGCGAGCGGCACATGACCTCCCAGACCATCGCCTCCTTCATCGTCCCGGAGTTTGTGGGCTCTTGGAGCAGGTGAGGCTCTTGGGGAGGGGGGGAGGCTCTTGGGGAGGGGTGAGGCTCTTGGGGAGGGGGTGAGGCTCTTGGGGAAGCTCTTGGGAAGAGGGTGAGGCTCTTAGGGAGGGGGTGAGGCTCTTGGGAAGAGGGTGAGGCTCTTGAGGAGAGGGTGAGGCTCTTGGAGAGAGGGTGAGGCTCTTGGGGGAGGGGGAGGCTCTTGCGGAGGCTCTTGGGGAGGAGTGAGGCTCTTGGAGCAGGTGAGGCTCTTGGGGAGGGGGTGAGGCTCTTGGGGAGAGGGCGAGGTTCTTTGGGAGGCTCTTGGGGAGGGGTGAGGCTCTTGGAGACGGGGTGAGGCTCTTGGGGAGGGGTGAGGCTCTTGGGGAGAGGGGTGGACTCTTGGGGAGGCTCTTGGGGGAGGGGTGAGGCTCTTGGGGGAGGCTCTTGGGGACAAGGTGAGGCTCTTGGGGCGGGATGAGGCTCTTGGAGAGGGGGGTGAGGCTCTTGGAGAGGGGGATGAGGCCTCTTGGAGAGGGGGTGAGGCTCTTGGAGAAGGCTCTTCAGCGCCGTGAAGACGCTGAAGACATTTCACACATTTCTTCAAATGTATGAAGAGGTAACACATGTTTGTTGTTGCCGCAGGCTGGCCTTCAGCGTCGGGGAGGACAACATCCAGCTGTGGTACAACTGTGAACTCTTCAGCGACATCTTGGTCAAGCGGGTGCCTCTCCAGCTGGTCTTCGACTCCGCCTCCACCCTCTACATCGGCCAGGCCGGAGGCATCCTCAAGGGGGAGTTTGAGGTAAGACTCGACCATCATCAGTGTGGCTCATGTGCGCTCTAAATATTTGACTCTACTTTATTCACTCTGGTATGTATTTTGGAGGGGTTAATGACCACGGTGGTGTGTGTGTGTGTGTGTGTTTAAAACGAGCGAAAGAAAGAGAGAGACAGACAGACAAAGAGAGAGTGAGTAAGTGTTAGCAGCCGATAAGTTGCCTGGAAGTCTTATTAAATAAGAAGGATCAATACCACCACATGACATTTTTTCTTCATTGAGGGAAAAAAATGTCTGGCAGCAAGTTTTGTGGTGTTAGGTCGTCAGTGACCGAAATGTCCTTAATCCTTAAGGACATTTTATAAAGATCCTTAAGAATAATATAGAGACCTTTGACAAGGTTAGCCTTCCCGAATCCTTAGACCACTAGAATTAGCTATCGGGTAAATTCAGGTAAAAAGCTTAGTGTCCCCGAAAATAGAAATCCATAAGAGTATTTTGTATTAGACACCCATTCAATCAGTAATGAACCGTTTTCTGTAATACATCGAAGATGCAGCAAAGAAAACGAGTGTCATCGGTAAGCATTTGTGAATGGTACACTGAGTAATTTCTTATTAATAATTATAATAATTCATTGTGTCTCGGGACAGGAAGCCAGAGTGTATTCATACACGTTAGGCTTGTATAGAGTTCCTACCTTCCCAGGTCTAATTACCGATCCCGCCCAGAATGCAACCCCATAGTGGACAAAGACTAAATCTTCAGCACGGGTGGAACACGAACAAGAGGACACAGGTGGAAACTTGGTACCCAGATGAGCCACACACGCACACACATTATAGATCATTTCTTCAGTGTCAGAGTAGTTAAAAAATTGATTACATTAGACAGTGATGTGGTGAAGGCTGACTCTATACATAGTTTCAAATGTAGATATGATAAGAGCCCAGTAGGCTCAGGAATCTGTACGCCAGTTGATTGACAGTTGAGAGGCGGGACCAGAGAGCCAGAGCTCAACCCCCGCAAATCACAACTAGGTGAGTACAACAAGCTGACTAATGCGA